GCACAATGAGCCGCGTGCTTCACCTTGAAACGTCGACGCCACGTCACGGCATCAACGTCTGACCAAGGTGGAGATCTTCGCGATTCGAAGAGACTAAATTATGGCGTGCCCGCTCCGAATTTCATCAAGTTACTCATTCCATTGTGAGCATTCGGCTCTTGACAGTCAGTGAGTGAGTTTGTTGGTCGGTGTTTCTTCAGATGCAGCATCGGTCTTTTTCGGCGGCGGTTGCTCGCTCGCTCGCTCGCGCTCTTCGTCCGTAGTCGTTCCCACCTGCCCTCAGACGAGATCCGCTCGACGTCATGATCGTAAGCGACGAGATGGCAAACGAGTCGGTAATTCTTCATCGATGTTTACGTCCGCCTCCACATATCAGGAAGAGAGTTTCAACCTTGGAAATTGCGACCCTCTCCGAGAGAGTGCATCTCAATGACACCTTCGGTTGAGTTTTACTCCTGTTTCTGCGAGCAGCGGAGAGAAGAACTCTCGGCTAAGAAACCTAAAGCTAGGCGTGGTGACTGCGGGAAGAACTCGTGAGGTTTTGTGAAGCTGTTCGCAGAGAAGTCGGTCAGAAGAAAATCGGCATGGCGACGACAGTGTCGCCCCCGCGAAGGTGGAGCAATGAATTTCTTTCCGCGTCTAATGTGATAAGCAATCAGAGCCATCCGAACAATTTCGTGTTCTACATTGTCGGGACGCCTAGCGCGGAAAACATCGCGTCGACGAAGAGAACTAAAAAAGGTCGGTTCGTTTTTTCTGGATCCGCAAAACCTCCTATTACCCCCTATCTCTTCACTAGCGGGGGTACCGGAGACGCTTCTCTTTTGCTAAAGGAGTGAGCCACAAATCTCTGTACCGGTCCCTTTCGTATCGAATTGGGCTCCATGCCCAAGCTCGATGTCCCCGTAGTTCTCCCCATGGGTGAATACGGGGGATTCCGACGTACGACGAAAATCACCGCCTGAGACGCACGGCCATTTCTATGCCCTAAGCTTCAGTAGTTTGATCCTCGAACGCATGGGAAGAGAAGGGAAAATGCGCGCGTAGTTCGCGACTAGCCGTCGTATGAAGACTCGTCCGTAGCTCTGTATACCGCGGATCAGAAACACTACGGAAACGTGCGACGCTGGTTTTCAGTGGACGCGGCGAATCATAAACAGAGAACATCTGTCGCATAGGACCAGAGTCGCTGGGCGCCGTATGTTGAGACGCATCGTCGGTCCCGCTTCGTCGTGAGCTTAATACCAACGGTTTCCGAAGCGGAACGATTTTCAGTGAAGCTGGGCTCCGAAGAGTATCGTCATCTACTTTCGTTCTCTGAGCTCCCCCGCCATGCTTTTCTTGACATTCATTCCGGAATAGCCTGCATGACGCGGAGTCAAGCCATGAGGGATGTCGTGCAGAGAACATTCCATGATGGGATCTACTGGATACTTTTTCGAAGGGAAAGCACTCCAGCGTATCGTGTGGCCTCATATTCCGTATCTCCTGAGGCCTCCGGTCAGTTCGACATTCGAGTGGTCAGCTTCTCGACCCGACGACGGTACTTTACCCGTCAACCGGTGATCGTTCTCCTCCATAGCAGCGGGATCAGCAGATCATTATTTATCGCTCTTTAGGAGGGGAGCTCGGAGCTCTGGGAAAGAGGTGCCAGTGGTGTCGAATTCCGTTTGGACTGAATCATCTGTTCGGCTTCATTTCCAGCCCTAACTCTCGTTGATGGACAATCATACGGCCCAGTGCAGCGGGGTGCTTATGACGCGGAATCTGCGGCAAATTGCTCTTTTCCGGAGCTCTCCCGCTTTCATAGTTGTTGCCGAGAGATTCTGTGAACCATTTTCACGTGAACAATTGTTTCTCTTTTCGCGATTCATCCTTACAGCCGGAGGACCCGAGCGGAGTCCCTCGCAGAACGAACCGGCTGGACGGCGGCTTCGTTTATTGCCGTCTCCCCGTGAAACTGGGCGATTCGCGGGAGCCTGGCAAATAGGGAATTTCTACCCAAGCTTGTTCCGGCTTTCGAAATTCTCGATGAGCTTCTCGATCCTACCGGCTCCACGACCTGCTCAGTCCTTGAGGATCTCATGATTCTTCCCACAATCGGTGCGACTCACCGGAGTATGGGAGCTCTCTCGGAGCGTTGGAGAATCCCAAATCGAAATACGGTTGGTTGCGAAAAGTAATTAGTCCACCCTTTCATGGGTTGATCTTCCTCATACCGCTGACGCTGACTGACCCTGAAAATGGCGTCTAGATCTGGAATCGGAGACGGATCTCGCACTTCGTCCTGAGCTAAAGACTTTCCGCGTATTCGAGCTCGATCGAGTAATGAGAGTACTATCTCGCATTCGGCGGTCGGATTCCACATCCCAGCCCATATGTCCATTATTCGATTGTGTTTTGCTCAATTTTCGATTCCGTAGGACGAATCCTCGATCGCAGCTCGGAAGCTTCCTCGCTCAAAAAAATGAGAACCGAACGAGGTCCGTGAATGTAGAACGACGCGATTGGACGAGCAGTCTGCTGCAGACTTACGGCCGATCGGGCGTGGAAAAGTGCCGGTCGAAGCTCGAGGAAGATTTCAGTGGCGAAATCTCGCCCCTGCCGCCAAGGACTCAAGGATTTGGGTCATAACCTTATTGGTATGCAATCAAAACCCATTCCTATCGATGAAAAACTCGTAGCTCAATTTCAGAACTATGGAAGAGCTTCTCGAGTGTCCCTGACCCACCGGACAGCGGATCCGCAAATCCAATTCAATTTCTTGTTCTCCCCATCAGCCGATCGACGTTCGGGGAAAAGCCTCTGGCATTAAGTATCTCATTTCGATTCGGTCGGATCTAGTAATTAATCACGTTCCGAATGTGGTATCGAGATAGTTGCCAGCTGCTCATCGGGCGCCCTTATGTCACAAACGACGCCATCGAGAAATTCCATCTGTCTCAGACCATCTCGAACGTCGATTGCTTTGATAATCTCGAAGAATCGCCTGTCAACGCAGTGGCTTCTAGCTGCGAACCGGATTATGTCATTCGATAAGCTCGAATCTCATGAATACGGTAGCATCACCGCCCATGCATCACCGCCCATGCATACGACAAGCGAAGCGAGACTTGAACGCTCCGCATCTCAGGGCCTTGAAGCTCGCCTCTTGCACAGCGACTTCAGGCAACCACCAGCGCACTATGTCGCTGTCTTCACGTTTGCTAATCTAGTTTGGTTAGAACGAATGCTTTTTCCCTGGGTCATCATCCCCCTCCTGACTATCATCAACGGTTTGAATTCGCAGGCCCTCGCAGTCTTATGGGATCGTTACGTCGGAGACGAAAGCCAGACAGCCCAGCGCTGGGAAACTGGTCCGAGAAAAACTTTCGTGAACGAATTTCTTGTCCGGAAGAGCTCCCCCAGGATTCGCGTGAATCCAGATCGCGAGAATATCCGAAGCCTACGAGCTACACTTCCACTCGAGAAACGAAGTCGATAGTCGACTTCTAGGTCGTGTCCTCACACTTCAGGTGTCGCGGCAGTGCCAAAGCCGGGCTCACTGGTTGAGTTTTGGCTTCGTAGGCTGTGAGTGCGCGAGCTGCCACCAATTTGTCTGACAAGATCGAGTAGCTCGCTCTCGTCGTCAAGAAAACGACCAGCGAAGAAGGGTTCACTCGACGTCAGTGAAAGCGACCTCAACACTGACCGTGGCCCGCGGTTTTTGAGGGCAGAGGCCGCCGCATCTCTGACACATGTTGTTCTCCCACAAGCTCTGACCGAGACACCAAACTGTCGTCGTCGCTATCACCACTAAAGACGCCGAAAGTGGTTTTTACTTTTCCACGCGACGCTACATTGTGTGTCCCGATCGCATAGAGGTGTTTTCGTGCGCCCGCGCCCCAAAGAGCTCTTCAGAAGAAACTCGAAATAGCTTTCAAAAGCGAATAGTGAACGAAATTCTACTACAGAGATCGATGTGCAATTATACACGCCGCGTTATCGATAGACGGACAATTCAGTTGAGTCGAGGCATCGCGTTGATTTTCTGCGTCTCGCGTCGCAGTCGCTTTATGCAGTAGCTTCGAGCTGCCCCGAATTAGGAGCATCTATCTGATATGACAACATCAGAATATGTCGGGGACTCAGGTGGCGACCGTCGTGCTGCCACTGAGCAGCTTTGCCCAAGTCAAGGGCCACCGTCGAGCTACTTAGGAGCGATATATAACCATTGATGCGAATCAGTGCTTCTAGTGGGTTCGTGTTATGTCAGATTCCTACTTGTTCATGCTCACATAACTTGAGCAACATCGTTTATTGGGGCTGCGTCGCTGTTGGGTCCGCGCGGGAGACCCAATATGACGATAAGTTCTACTGGTGCAAGGTGCCCCTCGTTGGAATTGATTAGTACATCAATCCTTGTTTCCGGAGCATCGGATCAGGTCGAACCTGCACGAATCGCAATGCGACGATCGAGCTGAGCCCGTTGGATGCTGCCGGAAGTTCTGACTGTCAGATATCCCTCGCTCAGATATCTGGCTACGGCCGCAATGTCACTCTACGATCGCGGAGAATTGACCGAGCGAAGGATGGTCATCGGTGATTTCATCTTATTTGTCTCCGTTCCAATCTCCGAAACAACGGGCTTTCTCGTCCCCGACTGGAGGTGTCGCGATGTCCTACTTTTTTGAGGAACAAAACGCTGACATCGTAGGGAAGTCTTCCAAACTTCAATCTCGGTCCTCAAGTCCGCAGACTGCGAGGCGTTGAGATCGTCACTGCGATGACACAGAGCGAGATTGTTTTCGACCCGAGACTGGACCAAGGGCTCGGTCGCGTCGTTCATTGTTTCAAATCGTCTCATCTGAATGGTCTTCATCACGGACCATTTTTGGTGAATGGGAACGAAACGGAAACATCCGCTGCATTCAGCTCAGCTTTTTTCCCCGCGAACAGGAGAAATTGAATCTGATTTTGGAAAGCAGCCGATAGAACTTCATCTTTCCTCTCTATTACAGTCACGAGAGCGATGTTGGCCAACATTCTCAAAAACATGTACGTCGATCCTGCCTTGTTGGCGGAGTTGGACGAAGAACAGAAAAGCGTGCTGTTTCTGAAGATGCGAGAGGAGCAGGTCCGGCGGTAAGAGCATTTTTAGCGTTTTTCTCCGAGCAAGAAATTCAATGTCTGCGATCACCAAGATTGTCGCTTCGCTGTTTCGCCTGGAAACACCGCCTGAGCTGTCTGTCTGTCTGGTCTACTAACTCGATTTGAAAGGAGTATGTATAATACTAACCTCATTGTCTGTCCATAATCGAAGAATCGGAGGAAGGGCCTCACCTCCCTATGTATGTAAGTGCTTGAGTTAAGAGCTTAAGAAATAGAGCCGAAGTTTCCGAGCTCAGGGTCCGAATTCGAGAATACATTCATTCCAGGTGGCGAGAGCGCGAAGACCTCTTGGACAAGGAGAATGTCCAGACTAAACCGAGGAAAAGTGAGTTTCTCCCAGCGCTCTTGGTCAATGATTAATCAGTTGGTTTGGATTTCCCCCGCAAATGTCGGGGGGCTATCGAACAAGAATGGAGGCAAGAGTCCAGAATTGAGCCCGAATTCGACCCCATTGCAGAGATCTGTAAGAATGTATCAATAATGCTGGGTAAGGACGGGAAACCGTGGACTTGGGTGATGGATGAGCCTGATCCCAACGAAAAGGCCGTCACCCCTCCCAAACCCATGAGGACCAGCATCGCTTCCACGAATGGGATCGCGTCGACAATCGGTATCTCCTCTCTTAACGGCGTCGCGTCCACGAATGGTATTCCCTCACTGAATGGCGTCACATCGTTGAATGGCGTCTCAGCGATAAATGGGTAATTTGACGAGTCCGAATCCGGAAAAAATCCAAATGTTCAGGGAACTTGTCTAGATAAACCTATGTGTCGGCTAATTTTGGTTACGCGTCGCATTTCCTTCAGATCACCACAGCGTCCTTCGTCGCTGACACTAAATGCGCCTAGACTGAGTCCGAAGATCAGACCTGTGGTTGAAGTTCGACCAATGCCCGCGAAAACCGAAAGTCCGCGACCCCGCTCACCTGACCTGGGAAAGGTAGGAACTTGATCGAGAAAGTGTTCTGAAACGATGAGCCATATGTTGAAGGAAACGAGACTTCACAGTTTTTCGACACCCTCTCTAGGAGTTCCCAGGCTGCAGCTCAGCCGAGCCGAAACCCGGGCTAGATTATCAACTTCAACAGATAATCCGCAACGTTGCGGATTTGAGTACATCTCCAACCCAACCAGACAAAGACAAGTGGTTGCAGGAGAAGCTCGATCAGATGAAGGTATGTGGTTTCCTCCGATGGTCTGCCTGAGATTTCTCTCGATGTCCGCAGATTTCTTTCGGAATCACGCCTGTGATTCCCCGATCGGTCGCGGTTTAATGGCCCGATGCCCCGTGCAGTATATCTCGTCATCAATCAAACAAGCATCGATTCCTTCCATGCCAGGCGAAAGAGCCCGCTTCCGCGGCGTCATCACCGGGATCGCCGATCAGACACGAGATATTCAGAAGCACTCCGGGCGTGAATGTCATTTCCGCGTCTTCCGAAGAAGCCTCGGTCCGCAATTACTGGAATCAGGCCGACGACGAGGCCGCTTGGCGTGATCAAGGTTAGTTCCACTAAATTTATCGTAGCCAGCTTGTTTCGCGCCGGGACTTTCTTCAGTAGAATTCCGTTACAGGTTCTGGGCGATTTCCAACAAAGTACCCTAGAAGTCCTCCCCCGCTTTTCGAGGGAATGTCTCTCTTGTCACCGAGCTCAGCCAGGTTGATTCGGTTCGGCTGTCTTCCGTGCATCTGAATGCATTTCCCGAAACATTCTGGTCGACACCTTGAGATGTTCCGAAGTCCTTGTGGGCAGGAATCGATGAATTTGGAGCGAGTATTGTCGCGATCGAGTCATCCCGTCTCCATGGGCGATACTCTTGTGAGAAAAAAAACACCCGGAGCGCGTTTGCCGATCGTCAATTGAAAATCCTGACCTGGGAATCGCGGCGCGGTGGATCTCGCATTCGCTGCCGCTCGGTCGATTATCAGGCTTCCGTCCTGTGGAGCGCATACAATGCTGTTGAGCTTGGTGCACTCGCAATTCATATTTCGGAGCTCAGAATATTTCATAAGCTCTTGCCATTGGTAATGAGTTCGTGTAATAAACGAAGGATCAAATGTGAGAATCAGCGCACTTGCGTCCAATTCTTGTGTGAGGCTTTCCGCTCATCTCGGATGGGGAACCTCTCGCAAGGACGAAAGGATTTCCCGATTCGGAGGCATTGCAGTGTATTTTTCGCGTGAACGACGGAATCCGAGATGATATTCCATAGTCTCAGAAAACAGAATGTAGGGTGGATTCGTCCATCATTCCGTTTGTGTTTTTCGGCGATCCGTAACCAGTAACAAAACGTTTCCATCATATTGTTGCTGGCCATGATGGAAATTATTCATCGATCGATTGCCCGCTATCGATCGATGTTGCTTGTGACTGGTGTTCTAGTCCAATTCGTTGAATCGTATCCCGATTACATTGGACGACTTCATCAGGATCGGAATCGTCTGTTCTGAGTGACGAGATCGATACCGATCCCTGGTATGGCCATCGAGCCTGAGTTCCACCTGCGAGGTCTCGTGAAATAATTGCGTCCACATCCAGACCAGATTCCGGAGAGCGAATCAATACTCGGCGGGGCTGCTCAGCCGTCTGTTCCCCTCGAAGATTCCCACCTCCGAAGACTGTAACTCTCTAACTCTTCCCTGACTTCCCTTCGAAACAGAACGCCGCGCAAAAGAAGCCGACGCTCAACGACGACAAACGGCAAGAAACGCGAGAGAGGAAATCAAACGATCGTCTCGACTCATCGCCAACGGTGTGTGAAGGACTATCGGAAGCATATTTCGCCTGCATTACGGTCTGCCGATGTAATGAATTCTGTTCTATGAATTCTGCAATGCTATGGATTCGGGCTATTCGATCATCGCTCCCCCATTCGCAGGAGAATTGAAAGTGATCGCATCACAAATCTCCAACGACGAGGAAAAGGGCTCAGACGAGTTAAATTCGAAAGCGAAAACCAACGATGTGATCAGCAATGGCAATACTGCGAAACCTGCGCTATTGCCCAAACCAACAGTGATCAAACCACCGGTCCCTCCAAAAAGTGCCAAAGTTCATACGAGGACCGGTTCTTGTGCGCCTCCTCTTCAGGCGACGTCTCGGTAAATATCCACTTTCGAAGATCCCTCACGCCTGGAATCTCGCCTCACGTCACGGAAACAGATGGAAAATCAGACTTTTCTCGTCCGCAGGAGTAAAGACGCCAAAGTTTTCGGAAGACCTGAGGTCGAACTGTGGTTCGCTGAGAGCCAGCTGAAAAAAGGGACTCTGAGTGAGAATGGACAGACTGCGGATGTCGCTCCATGGTTCCACGGTGAGTCCCGAGGGAAATGGGAATGATGGTCAAGGATGGATATTGCCATCTCATTTGGAGCTTCGCCCTTACCGCGCGCATTAGCGGTAGGGGCGAGCAGCTAGTGGTGCACCTGATTGAGCAGAATCTCTTCCTAGGATTCCTATCGAGGGTCGATGCTGAGCAGATCTTGGACAAAGAACCCGAAGGATCGTTTTTGGTACGCGTGCACGACCGTATCAAAGGCTACGTTGTATCATACAGATCTCCGGAAAAGGTGAAGAAGTCTTCCGTATGATAGGATGATTCTAGCTCAATGCCCAATCCCATGCTGCAGTTGCTGAATGAGATGATTATTATAAATAACTTATTGTGATATTTTTCTACCTTTGCCAATGTACCTAAACATCCATTTATACAGAAAGTAGAGTGACCCTGCCCTATCGTTTTTTTGCACGATGATCGCAGGTGAAACATTTCTTGGTGGACGCTTCGCAACCGTCACAGGTTCAGTTTTTCGGCGCCAATCAACTCATATTCGCTACCATTGTGGATTTGGTTCGATTTCACACGGTGGGTATTTCGGAGGAGACTTTCTCGTCACCACACAAGACCCTCCCCCGGGACATGGATTCACCTCTTCCTATCTTCGAATTGCAGAGAAACCCCGTTTCTATAACGGGCAACGAGCTCCTGCGAGAGGGAGTTCCGCTGCGGGGAGAAATCGAGGACGTAGCGATTCGATTATAAGACATCATCAACTGTGTTTATCTTTGGAGCTTTCTGTTCAAAACTCGTCGAGTGATTCTTCGTTTCGGGTGTGCCGACCAAACAATCCCAACGAAATCCCGAACTTCAAGCCGCTCCGAGAAACGCGTTCGTTGAGGACATCTCCGAAGCCCAGCACGAAGACGCGGCGACAATTTTTACTCTCATAATGATGAAGAAATGGTGGAAGAAATTTGTAAACAAATATCAGTGAAATCGTGTTAATTGCTAGTCAGCTTGACGGCAAACGTGTGACATTCGAGGATAAAAGCTTGGCGGTTCAGTTGCTTCTTCCAGAAACAAGATCATGAGCCCTACGACGAGCAAGAAATCCAGAAACCACAGAGCCAAAACAATTCCACGCTTACTCTGGAGGATATTGTAGCAATCTCTCCTTTCCAACTTCCGCATCTTTCCATTTACTATACTCCGAAACCTTTTTTTAATTCCCCGCTTTTTGTGATCATACATGACAGGGGAGCCGCGGAGTCGTTGTGAAATAATTGAGACTATGCAAAAGAATTTTCAATTCCTCGTTGAATAAACCTCCCATTCAAAAACTGAACAAGCGAGTCTTTCCCAATGCAACACGTAGCCTATTGATGTCGCGATCTTCCTCCTCCCGGTCGCACAGGAAAACTTCTCGTGGAGCTTGCCTGATTCTGCCTGAAGACCTGAAACCTGATGGTACCCTGCAGGCGAATGAGATGACGGCTGAATTCTCGAGTATCACCATGACTCTCCGTATAATCAGCAACGACCGAACCTGATCACTGTCCGTGAGCAATGATTGGCGTTTTTACTTATAAGGAATCAGACATTCCTTGCTCTCAGAACGGCAGGCCCCTATTTTGGAGACAAAGGTATCGCGAACCGAATGACACAGGAACTTCCTACTCGCGCCTCCAAGAATAAGATCGAGCAGCGGAGAGTCAAGGAGACTGAAATATTTTTAATAGTACGAAACCAACATTCTGATGATACTGCAGTCAGGTTTCCATTCGCAACTCAGATCGACGCAGCGGGACCACTGCGCAATTTCTCCCATAATAAATGGACGTAGAACATACTTTGGTCCTTACACAAAATCGGGTGAGTCAAATTTCGCCGAAGATAGACAAATTCCATGCTACAAATCGTTTTCGATGGTTTTTGAAGGCAGGATGAGTTTCTTCGGCACTTCCCAAGGGAAGTTTTCGCGACCGAAATGTCCATAGGTCGAAGTTTGCTGGTAGATCGGGTTGGTCAACTTGAGGTCTCGCATGATGATTCCAGGTCTGAGGTCGAAGTTCTCATGAATTATTTGCAAGAGCTGTTTCTGGGAGTACTTCGAAGTGCCGTAAGGGAGCACGGTGATGGAAAGCGGCTCGGCGATGCCGATGGCGTACGAGACTTGTACCAGACAACGCTTGACCACACCTGCTTTGACTAAGGATTTCGCCACCCAGCGAGCAGCATATGCGGCGGATCGATCGACTTTCGTCGGATCTTTCCCGGAAAACGCTCCTCCGCCATGGGCTCCCCATCCTCCGTAGGTGTCCACAATGATCTTCCTACCCGTCAGCCCCGCATCTCCCATCGGTCCGCCCTGAACAAATCTCCCGCAAGGGTTGATGTGCACGACGGCTTTGTTGTCCAGAAGATTGGCGGGGATCACGACCTTAACGACTTTTTCGAGAACTTGTTCCCGTAGATCTTCGAGGGATATCGAGCTACAATGCTGAGTCGATACCACCACAGTGTGGACTCGGAGCGGGACCGTTCGACCTTTCTCGAACTTGTACTCGCAAGTCACCTGAGTTTTGGTATCGGGTCTCGCCCACGGGAAAGTGCCGTTGCGTCGCAATTCGGAAAGCTTCTGATTCAGTTTGTGAGCGAGCATCGCGGTGAGCGGCATGCATTCCTCGGTTTCGTCGGTGGCGTATCTGCAGGACGGAGAGGAACTGGGATCAGTGAAATTGCAGATCAAAGAGCCCTGACGACAAGGAGATGGTCCCGCAGAAGCGAAAGTGAAGCGCCATATATGATCACTCACCGTGATCACTCACCCAAACATGAGACCCTGGTCTCCCGCACCGATTTCCTCGATGCGTTTCTCGACGTGCACCCCATTAGCGATTTCCTCACTCTGCTGCTCTATGGCAACCAAAACGTTGCAAGTGGCGTAATCGAAGCCCTTCTCGGAGGAGTCGTACCCGATCGATTTGACGGTGTCGCGCACGATCTTCTGATAGTCGACAACCGCTTTGGAAGTTATCTCCCCGAAAACCATCACCATGCCTAAAACCAAAAGATCCCTATCAGTCTCCCGTAGACCCGTAGAGGTGGAAGCCGGATCTTGCCTCCATATTCAGCGGTCCGGAGCGGGCGGACAGAAATCCGTTGGCTGAAAACTTGGCGAGGAAGATCTCGTGGAGTCCGAGAGGAATATGGGTTCATTGAATAATCGGAAACGTCACTGGGGCTCCTACCGGTCTTGGTGATGGTTTCGCACGCCACCTTGGCGTGCGGATCGATTTTGAGATGGGCATCCAAGATAGCGTCAGAGATCTGATCGCACATCTTATCGGGATGTCCTTCACCCACGGACTCCGAGCTGAATAGCACTGTATCGCCGTCATTAGTGTGCAGAACGTCGTTCACCTGTGTCAATCGAGAGGTTTATCGGTGAGCGCCGCGTTCTTTGGAAACTCTCCAAGAATCGTCTGAGGGAATTTTTCTCCATCCAGATCGACGTCCGCACTCACCGTTTGCAGGAGCGACGGGTCGACGCGCAGTTGAGTAGTCTCTGCAGTTGGAGGCATTTTCGGATGGACGGGCGTGGAGTACAGCGCTCTATTCGCAGCTCGAAGTCGATGTTTGACGTGAATGAAGCTGCAATAATTGCTTTTCTGTGAAGACTGCGAGTATCATTGCTTCTTCAGACACGCGCATCCCACGGTTTTCGGAAATCACGACCAATACCAAAAGCATCAACGACATTAAGGAGCGCTCGTCATCGGAGAATCGAGTACTTCACGCGACTCTGGGCGACAGAAAATGCTCCGGGGCGCTGACCGTTCGAGGGCCGTTGGCCGCAGTGAAAAAGGAGCAAAGGAAAAAAGTGCGCAGTTGTATGGCCATGCCGGATATTGGCCTCTTACTCGAAAGTCTTTTCTTATAGGGAAATATCGTATCGTTCCGAGTCGTAAGTCGGATCTCGGATCTGACCGCATGACACAAACCGCATTCTGAACGATGAACTTCGGCCTGAACGATTCTGAGGAGTTTTTGGACCGAGCAAGAATATCTTCTCTTTGATGAACACGATCCAACAATATATTCCGAACGACGCCGCAGGGAAACGGTGAGCCTGCTCTTGCCAAGGTCTCTGAGAGCTCCTGAGTCGGACGAGCCTTACTATGATTACTGATTACTATCGAGAGGCTTCGGGCAGGCGGCTAACATTTGGCGTTATTGCACCGGGATCTTGCATTCGCTGTATACGCCGCGTTTTCTTTCACCAGTACGAGAAAAGGGCCGTTAAGCTCAGCATACATATCATACATGACATTATTAATCTTGGAGCTCTCCTCTTCCACGCATGCTGATTCTCATCGACGGATCTTCGTCGGGGATCGAGGATCCGAGCAATACCCATCAGGTAGATGCAGAAAATTCAGCGGGTACTCAACCCAGAACCATCAGCTGTCTCCTCAGAAATGAAAGCAGACCAGCTTCGCTTCCGCGAAACTCTGCGCCGGGGTGAGCCTCTCTGACTGAGGTAGGCGAAGCTCTAAGCACTCTTCGAAAACTCGACCGACCTCGATCCCTAGAGAGCACTTCTCGGAGTTGTATTGGGAGCATGAATCGTTCTCACATACGGCCTTGCGCCTGGCTTCGACCTTCTCTATTTAACAGCATTGCGGGTCTGTCTGGAGATATGGGCAGACTCAGAGAATTTCTCGCGACCATGTTCCCCCGGTCTCGCTGGAAGCTCTGGCTATCTTCGGGAGAGACTTCAATCCCTCTCGAGATCTAGCGTCATACTCCGATCAGATCTGACGCTCCAGCTAAGCTCCAAAACTCACGACCGGGTCTGAAACAGCAGCCGGGCAGACGCCTCAACACAAGGACAGCTGAGCGAACCGGACCGACTCGACCGACCACGTGTTTCTCGAGGCTCTCGCGACAAGTCGCTTCAGTTTTCGGTAAAGGTTCGCAAGTTTCATGAAAGCCGGAGAAGAAGAAAGGATTGGACTACTCACCTGCACAACTCCCCTGAGTTCAGGCTTCGACACTGGTTTCGGGCTACTAATCTGGGAATGAAACACGCGCTAGCGAACATCAATTACCCTTGCCACCAGCCACGGCTCCTCTCCGAGCGTCATATTTTCTCAGAGAATTCTCCCGACGGCGGTGGCGGCAGCGCTGGTGATCGCGCTTGAAACTTTGGCTGCTTACGGATCAAATGATTCGGCTGAATTCCATCGTGAGGCTTGACGGTCAAAGCGACATAGAAAGGATATTCGAGATCCGATGGTGACGTCACGGAATACGCGGACGTACTGCATTCTTCATCGGAGCATGTACATATATGAATCAGATCTGAATGAATAACTTTAGCGTTAATCCTTCAATAGGAGCGTGGGAGCCGGAGCGATGCTCCAGATCCTATCTCGTCGAGACCCTGAAGTCATAGAAAAGGTCTTAGTCTCAGATAGTACCTACCAGATCTTCCCAGAGCAGGGTCGTCACAGGCTCTGAGCTCGTGATGACTTTCTACGTTTTTCTCGTTCACATCGACACGTTCCAGCTGCTGATGGACGATCCGGACCAGAGAGTAGTTTCTGAAACAAATTGGAAGATGTACAGAGAGGCTGATCGACCGCGTTGGGAGGATCCAGATCCTCCGCAGCTAGACAGTGTCACTCACGGTGGCTCCGCTTCAGGCAGAACATCGGCTCACCCTACCCATCCCGGACAACTTAGGTTTCCCATGTGGAAGAGAACAAGGAAAAGTCAATGTTTGCGTCAACTTCCATGATCCATTCGATTCTTTTTAGACGATGTGATCTGAGATTCCATCGTATACTGCTCGCTCTGCATGCTTGGCGCTCCGAGGTATTAGGTGAAGACTCCGTGATGTCTGGAGGTTTTCTCCAGTATGTGATGCCGCGGGGATCGAAAGTCATATTCGAGACCCGGGGCTCAATCAAGTGTCTGCCTCTTTCGATCCCTAGAATCGGACCCGAGCATCCGAGCTATCGCACCGACTTTCTAGCGCAATCACTTAAATCCTCGGCACTCCGTCAAGTGCTGCCTGGAATGGAGATCGACTGGGAAAAAGCCGCTTTGAAGCCGGCGAGCGGTTCATCATTCCTCGATTGAAACTGGGCGCTGTGGTAGTGTGATTGATCCCTCGTCTACGATCTTCTTACAGCTAGACGAACGAGGTACTCTGGAGTCTAGACCACCTATTCGAGACGTGCCCTACTTAGTCACCTCATTCGGATGACATGAAGATGCCTCACAGAGCTCACAATTTGTATGAGCCGACGCTGCTTATGACGGACGTGATCGTCCGAGGGAAAATCACCCGAATCTCTCGGCATCGATTCGAATCGCGACAACCTCTGTCCCCAGGCTCTGGGCCTGTGTGCCTCTTTATTGACAGGCTTCGTGCTCAAGCGGGAAACAGCCCCCCGCCTTGGAACTCAGTCAGAGAGAACTCATTATTACCGCTCTGGCAATCACCGCTCTGGCACCGAAAGCTCGGATGGTACGGATTTTCCTCAGTATGTAAGCCCTTGCTCTGCGGGAAGGTCTCCTGAGGAGGCTCGAGAGGACCTTGTCCCGAGGTCCCGGACTTAAAAACGAAATCTTGGTTCGAGTTTGATTGCGGAACAGGCCGATGGATGAGAATCGACGATGTCATCGAAATCCATCTCGAGTCCTCAGGCGCTTCAAAGAAAATTGGTCGCGCGGAGCTTCGGTGCCTGAGCTTCGTGAGGACCCGCGTATTCTCCTATCTCCAAGGGAACTTCCCCTCCCCCCATTTTCCCATGGCGGTGAGATTCAATGCTCCTAGGAAATGCTATGAGAGTCGAATATCCGGTAATGGGGATGGGATTGACGTGACGGTCCATGGTCTCCAGCAAAACAGTCCTTGCGAGGAATTCCCACTCGACCCAGGACTTCGGAGTCCACTCAGACGCTCTTTGACATGATGAGGGATGATTTACGCTAATTAGACTGTCGGGTCCGAGTTTTTGCGGGCTCCGACCGCTCACCTCGTTCTGGAGATAAAGTGCTCTACAGAACTTTTTGAATCGCCCGCGCCTCGGCGGTGCTGCTCAAAAACGTTCGAGTCTCTCCGGTCGTTTCCATTCTCGCCCCGTGAGTTCCGGAACAGAGCACTTGGTCGTAATTTCTCTCGGATCCTGGGAGAGAGGGCTGTTGGACATCGAGCCTGCGCGATCGACATCAATCCTTGGCATTTAGGCGGCTTCAGACGGAGCGGGAGCGGACGCAACAGCAGGTTAGCTCCGGGCAGCCGCATCGGCCATAAAGCAATCAACGAGACTCCGCGTGCCGAGGAAGAATACGCTCAGAAATCAGAAGCGCTCTGAGCTCTCCGACGCGAACTGACTCGGAGATCATCTGACTGAGGCGGGCGGCGAACCTCAACTCTGGCTTCGGTGAGTGGCGACTCGGTGGTTCCGAAAGCGACGTGCCCGCTTCGATCCGGCATACTGTCTCGCTTCGACATAAGAAACCAAGCTCGAAACTGCAAACACCTCGAGATTCGTGGAGGACTCTGCCGGGAAGCTTCCGGCATGATCTCGGTGGGAGCTCATGGCGAATCTCTCGTTCTGTACTCAATTCGAAAAATCAAAAACCTTTTTTCGAGGACGACGCTGGAGAGGGCTTTTCCGCGCGTCAGTGAACAGTGACGCCATACTAACGCATCCTTCCACTATTGAGAGGCCACCAGCAGTCCCAGCAGTTCCGCTCTCCGTGCTCCATGTCCACGCGGGTAGCTTGAAGCTTCAGATTGAAGACTTCTAGAGCTAATCCTTCAATGCGATCGGAAGAGCTCGAAACTCGCTCTGGAAACAAATAAGAGAGCACGGAACCTAGAGCGTTCCCCGTATCGAAGACAGAACCGAATCGGAATCAGCTGTTCGAACCCGGACGTGTCTTGCAGGAGCTATCGCGTATGCCTCTGAAACTGTTTCGGAAAATTTACATTGAAACCCTATATGATATACGAAAATTCTACGTTAAGATCTCCTCGACGCCGGAGCTGGAAGTGGAGAGTGAACGATATCTGAGAATGCCACACCAGCTGCGACTCGCGGCGCCGGCGTTCGGTAGTCGCTTGACGGGTTGAAAGAGTGAAACAAGCGCCAAAATTCCGCGGACGAGTTCGGAAGCGACGAAAAACTCCGATATGACGGCAAAACGGATGTTGCGATTCGCTCGAGCATGCCCTGAGGAGGAGTGGAGTGCCTGACCCCTCGGGCATCCCGATCCGGCTCATCGCTGGGGAGAAGTCAACGGGGAGAAGTTGTTGGTAAACTTGAAGCGCACTCCATCGTCTTATAGATATGCTAAGCTCACGAAATCTGGTCCCGATGATCTAATCGATGCCTCTGCTCCAACCTATACGTATCTATCGGGAATTTTATCGTGATGACTGTCTCCTTTGAAGAGGTTCAACCTGCCCGAGTACGGCTGATGATCGACGCCATATCGAGCATTGAGAACAGCTTGGGAAGAATATCGCCACGACTTTATGTTTCGGACAAGCTCGACTGTCAGCATGGGACTCTGTGTTTAATGCCCTGCCCATGGAGCAGAGAAGATAAATTCAAGAATACAGGGGGGAGGGGGTATTTCTGGGACTCTCCGTGCGCTCTCGCAGAAATTCGTGACGAACGTCACTCAAGGCCGGAACCTCCTCTAAGAGAGCTTCCCATGACTTGCATATCTTGGAGGAGTCTATTTCAGCCCGAACTGAAATCGGGCGAGGATTGAATCAAGTCGTTCGATTCTTCACCGAGTGCCCATTCCATGAGTTGCCTCGATGAGATCCCTGGGAACCAACAGGTATGATCCCGGAAGGTGGAGAGCGAGCCTGGAGGTAGCTTTGAGATCGAGACGCCATAACCCCTTGGAGAAGCACTCTCCCAATCGCGGTCATTGAAAGATAGTGAACCGTGATCTAAGCAATCTCTAGTCATTGCGCTTCCCGGCGTGGACCAAAGTTGCCGCATTCGTGCATGTCGTGGTTATAACAACAGATAGCAACAATCGTCGCTACGTTTGCATCTCTCGGAGCCATACCGAGACTCCGGTACTGCGATCGCCGTCGGCGGAGCGCTTGGAGACGAGGCCCATCCTGTCAGTGAGTGCTCAACTCAATCGAGCCGAATATTTTTGCCGGACAGAGGTCCCCGCTCGGACCATGGACCGATCGGAGAGCTCGCGAAGCTCACGGGATCATCTCGATTCGAAATACCGTAACCGAACACCTTGAATGGTTTCGAGGCTACTTCGGAGTCAGTCCATCGGGAGGTCTTCCGAGCGAGCATGACGGAACATTTGACAAAACGACTCCGCTCTTTTCAACGATTGCGGTCATCGGTAGCGATCTGCGCGCGGTCTCGAGTTTCCTTGATGTTCCACGTAGTGCCGAAATCGGGCCAACGGTATTTGACGCTGGGTGGCCGCGGCACAGCGATCCGAAAAGGTTTCCGGATGGAGAAGCCATGAGAGAGAACACGCGCTGCGACATCACTCGATTACCGTCTCCAAAATTGTTTCAGAGATATCCACGATACTCGAGCAAGAGATCGGCTGAAGCAGTGATTCGAACACGTAAAGAGGATAGAATCCAACAAAGAAATAACCTTCCAACATGAGCGAACATCACTCCAACGGGAACAACGGCGTAAGTGCATTTCAATACTTTATCATTTACATTTACTTTCAATACTGCATCTCAATGCTCGTGAGGGAGGAAAAAAACATAAGAGTTGAAGTCTCATCTCCCGTCGCATTATTGGGCTATCTCCCCGGGAAGGAGCTGCTGGTCGATTCCCAAATGATCCGCTGTAAGGATCGTGACGAAACGCCGTAATCCGGAGAAAGTCCGATAGGCTCCTCGATGACAAGATGTCTGGTTTTCCAGGTCGCCGTCAACGGCAATTGTGCTGAAGAGCATCCAGTTTTCGATTCCGAGGAAATGAACGATGATTCGGTCGAAACGTTTTTGTTCAGTTCAGAATCGGTCGGCGAAGGTCATCCGGACAAAATGTGCGATCAGATTTCCGATGCTATTCTCGACGCTCATCTGCAACAAGATCCAAACGCCAGAGTTGCTTGCGAAACCGCTACTAAGACAGGTTAGGATCGGCAGTCTCTTCACTTAGATATCCGAGCATGAGCCTCTCGTCACTCTGACGATCATCATTCGAGGAGTCATCCAGTCGATGATGATCGGAGAACGTGGTAGAGATCGAGTGAGCTCAAGCCGGCTCGCGGTACAAGACACACTAAAAGACCCGAGTTTGATGTTTCCGCGCTCGTCCAGCGCCTGGGAAACTCCGCTGGACGAGTCACGCGAGCAGATTCTCGCCATGGAAACACGCTCGAACGCCTTGATTTCGAGCGCTGCAGTATCGATTCCCGCTCTTTATCAGTTCAGGAGACGTCCTGAGACATGAGGGTTCCTAGGTGGAATGTTATCGCCGAGGGAATGCCGCACTCATGACTGATATTCTCATGATTGAAAAAGTGGAGGGAAACCTGACGATTCCTTTGTGTTGGGGTCAACGCTGGCGATTCGAATCACTGCTCCAATCCGATAAAGAAATATGCTGTGAAAGCTGACTGCTGAACCTAATTGAAACGGATACTTCGCTTTTCCCTCAGGTATGATCATGGTGTTCGGGGAGATCACGTCGAAAGCCATCGTCGATTACCAGAAAATAGTCCGGGAGACTGTCAAGAGGATCGGCTACGATTCCTCCGAGAAAGGATTCGACTTCAGAACCTGCAACGTTCTCGTTGCTATCGAGCAGCAGAGTCCTGAAATCGCCGCTGGCGTTCACGTGGAGAAATCAGTCGAAGAGATCGGAGCTGGGGACCAGGGTCTTATGTTCGGGTACGCAGGATCGGAGTGATGAAAGTTCGAATATTTCTGCTAACGTAGCTGAACCCATCTTATGATGAAATGATGGATTTATCAATTTAATTACTCGTCTTCCTCCCCTTCAGATACGCGACGGATGAAACCGAGGAATGCATGCCGTTGACTGTGGTGCTCGCTCACAAGCTCAATTCACGTCTCGCTGAGCTCCGTCGAGACGGGACTTTCCCTTGGGCCGGACCTGATTCGAAAACTCAAGTAACTTGCGAATACTACTTTAATCACGGAAGGGCGATTCCACAACGGGTTCACACGGTCGTGGTGTCCACTCAGCACTCGGATAAGATCTGCCTCGAGGAACTCCGCTACAATGTGCTCGAGAAAGTCGTGAAACACGTCATCCCCACGCACCTCATGGACCGACGCACAGTGGTACACATCAATCCCTGCGGCAAATTCGTTCAGGGTGGACCCATGGGAGACGCTGGCCTCACGGGGAGGAAGATCATCGTTGACACCTACGGAGGTTGGGGAGCTCACGGAGGCGGGGCCTTCTCCGGCAAAGACCCAACTAAAGTCGATCGATCCGCCGCATACGCAGCCCGTTGGGTCGCGAAGAGTTTGGTGAAGGCAGGTGTTGTGAGACGGTGCCTCGTGCAGGTCTCGTACGCCATCGGTATCGCTGAACCGCTTTCGATCACGGTGCTGCCGTACGGAACTTCGAAGTACTCTCAGAAAGAGCTCCTGCAGATCATCGAAGACAACTTCGATCTCAGACCGGGCATCATCATGAGAGATCTTAACTTGACAAACCCCATTTACCAGAAAACGTCGGTGTACGGACACTTTGGACGAGACAATTTCCCGTGGGAAGTTACGAAGCCCCTTGTCATCCGCAAGGAGTTCCAATAGTCGTAGTCCGAGCATAATTTTAAAAATAAACCATTCATCCATCAAAAATAACCGACATGAAGTAACACTTAGACCGCGTACCGTGTATCTGTCCTCATCGATGTCAAGCTGCTGTGAGAGGAAAACGTGTGTCTCCCTTAGTCTCCCTCCTAGATGTTGCGGCGCCCTTGACGCTCCCAAACCTGAGTCATTTTCTATGGTTATAGTAACCCTTTCATGATGACTGCAAACCATTGCGAATGCTGGATGCAAGTCCCGAATATCCTCGCTTCGTTCGTGTTGATTCGAATCATCATTCCGATGATGCGGCGGGCGGGACAGCTGCTCTCCATCATCTGAACGTGTTTTCTGAATAATATATGGTTCCCGGCGAAGAGCGTTGATTTGTCGATGAATCCAATAACTACAACCAAAGGTCGATCGCTCGAAGTCCGAACGAGTAAGGTGTTTTTCACTAGCGAGGACGGAAATGCATTAGATGTTCTTAAATACAATACATAAAGTATTCTTGGACAATCACATCGAGGTTTTCCTTATATCCTTTAATGGGACCAAAAATCCTTCCCCGGCGATATACGGCTTCATGGGATCCAAAAGGATCTAGACCGCGGATTTAGCGGCATCGGCGGGGAAATTCGTTCGTCGGTCGGATACAGCCGAGACAGGCTCGCACTCGCCGCTTGAAATTGAACTCGCGAAGAACAACGAGGGTTACGTGTGGGCGCATAATGCCCTTCAGGCTGAAGATACCACTTCTGATTTCGGATCGATCGAATCAATCGATGAATTCGACTTTTGTGCAAAGATTCGGCGCGATTTTCGCGGAGCACCTCACAGTGCAGCGGAGCGCGGGAAGATCTCACCTCCCCTTCTTATCGCAGCGCAGTTTTAAAACTGAACAGACATATTTTCGCTCGATATAAGATCGAGATTCAGCTCCGATTAGAAATCATTCGCCCTTCTTGCGATTCCGGAGATCTTTCCCCAATCCGATAAGAAGTGATACCGCTCGAGCTCTCGGTACGATTGTCGAACTGAAGAGAGATGTCGATAAGCAATATCCCTGTTATCCCTCTCTAACAAGTGGAAGACTACGCTAAGACTTACGCTGCGCCGCAGCTGTTCAGCTCTCCATCGATATTGAAAATGAAAAGGCTCCTCGGGAATCGTCATGACCTGACTTTATGAATAATAGTCCAGGGTTCGTTGACCCGAGGCAACTGTGTGCACAACAGGATGATAGAGAGACGGTGAGGTTGGCTCACCCGGGATGTAATCCCCGTCATCGACTCCGATCTTCGGATGAACTGAAGAGGACACCGATCTTCGACCTATCACGGGTGATGGACAGTGGGTTCTAGAGATTCAATGTCGTTTCGCAGCCCAACCAACTCGAGGGGTGGACGATACTTTAGCCTTTACGCGCGGAGATCGCGGAATGCCGTCAGAGCTCGGGGAAGCCGACCGCGCGATCACTCTATGTTCTTCAAGTCCTTGTCGCTGGCCTGATGAAGTCGCTCGGAGTTGGAGACGAGCCATTTAAGTTCCGATAAAGACGATTCTTGCAGACCTTGAAGTTCCGCTGGATTCGAATCGATGAACGATTTCAGCTCGTCGCGGAAGCAAATGAGTACCTGCGGTGGGAAAGACAATTTCGAAGGCACATGGAGACCACAACCCGGCAGTCTGGGTCTAGCCGAGAGGGAGAGGTCCAATGATCGGTCGGGATACCCACGTGATATATGTCATCTGCGAAGGGATATTCGGGTTTTGACGCCTCCTTCCATGCGATCTCGTGCTTAGCTTTCAGCTCTTTGCAGAAACCTGTGGCCGTCATGTCGAAGTGACTGACATATTCCTGAAGAATGGGGTGCGTGTTGGGGGCTTTTTCCCCGGTCAGAACCTCAGACAGGAGGGACTTCGTGAATTTCTTCGTCTGAAAGAGGGAGCATGGAATCAAGGTGTCCTATTCGTTGCCGCCGTCCGGGACAAGAATGTAGCGACTGTCCTCTTCGCCGAATCGAGAGGAGTGGAACTCATTGCCCCATCGGGATCGGGAAAATGGACTGCTGAACATGCTCCGAGACCTCTTGTCTCCGGAGAAACACCAGCCGACTCACCTCTTCAGTAGTCTCGCACATTCGAACCATGAAGACGAAGGGCGTTTCATTGAAATCCTTCGAATCACACGCCGGGAGCAGGGCTTTGACTCCTAAAGAGCCTATGACGCCCAAAATGAGCCAAAACAGAGCGCTCTTCATCATTCGGAATTCGCCAAACGAGGAGACCGTGAGCAGACTGATTCTAAGGAGATATTACGATCCTGGAAGGATTGGGTAGATAGTTCCAGTGCAATGATTAGCTCGAGGGTTCGTGAGCGATAGCTTTCATCTACGAAACAATCATCAACCACTTTTGTTTGTGTTCCCCGGTCGATTCTGTCGGCTCGGTTCTTCCAAATGCTCTTTCCCCACCAGAATCAATGGGCACTCCGAAACGAATGGAGCGCTTCTCCTCTCCCTTCTCTCTCGAATCCTGCGAGTGCCTAAAAGGCTCGTGGCTCCCGGCTCGGGCGCCGGAGTTTGACTGACGAGGCTTTACTTTTCCTTTTTTGAGATCGATTTTTGAGAGTGATCGGCTTTCAATGGTCCCCCCAAGGAGAGGCCTCGCGCCTGATCCTTTCGCAGAGACTCCATCCCTATCCATGCTCCAGATCCGCTTGAATCTCGAGACTATCCGGCCGATTTCTATGCGACATGCAAGGGCCAAATAACGGAAGTTTGGGTACCGCGGACGATTCCGAAACTCTCGGGAGGGATCGCCTCCCGAGACGATTGGGAACCCCGGGGAGCGTTCGAACTCTTCCATTTCCGATCAAGCTGTAGGGGCATGAACGACCGAATAGATTAGATGAAGAACGAAGGTCCTAGATACTCCCTTACTCCACCGAGCCTTGTGTGCATTCACGGAGACGAATGTCCGACGAGAGAAACAGCCGACTCATGGAGTGGCCCAATTATTGAGCTGCTGCTTGACTCGCATAAGGTTCATGCTTCCCCAGTGTGTTTCTCAACTGACCATCATCGCTTAGCGGTACTATCTACTATCGATTCTGAGTTCTTTTGAGGCTTCATATTCTTGTGGCTCGCTCTCGCAGCCTAACCAATATCGAGTTGTCCGTGAGAGAGGTTTCGCGCGATACTTTCCAGATTCCGAGGATAATGCCGTCATTCCCTCTCGAGATCTTGTTACCTGATGGAGTACTCCAATTCCGCAAAAACTCTCAGGACACCAAGCACTTCGAGACTGCAGGAATCGTCTCACACAGGGTCGACCGAATTCATTTCACGAATCGATGAGCTTCCGATGTTGTCGAATTCTTTACGAACAGAGCGAGAATCGATCGTGCGACAGTGATAACAACTGGAAGGCGCTGTTCTGTCAACTGCTTAAAGACGTCTGCGGCCAGGAGGCAAACGAGTAGAGAGGATGAATGATGGAGCTTTCCGCTGCTCATTCGCGCGAGAGGCGTCACACTATGAGCATTTTTCATTGTGGCCTGTGGCGAGGATTGTCGCTTCATGCCCTTCTGCGCGCGCTGAAATTGTTGCAATTCTGTCCACGACTTCGCTCATTGTTTCGACAGTGAGCTCATAATCACGATCGCGTTCGACTTACGAAATCTAGATAAGAGGAAAACAATTAATTGGCCCCAGCTCAGAGTGAGATCCCTTCCGTTGGGAAGGACTAAAATCCGAAGACATTCCAAGCAGAGATCGTCGTAGCTCGGAACACAAGATATCAAAGCGGGACAATATGCGCAAAACAGTCTCAACTGATTTTCCGTCCGACAGAAATCCCGGGCTTGATGCATCCACAGTGAGTTTTCACCGGAATTCGCGATTCTGACCGCTGACCCCGCTTTAGGGCCAAATCACATTCTAAATGAGAAAAAGTAGTGGCGAGGGAAAGGATTCGAAGATGGCTGAAAATGTTTGACTCGTCGATCCGAGAGTCCGGCACCCCAACGCTCTCGAGGTCCCTTGGCTGCTGCGCACGGTTGCGGAATTCCCGAAACATTGATTGGAAGAAAATATCGCTGGAATCCCCCAGACACACGCCGAGATCTATCTCTCAATAGGCAAAACTTTTCAGTGACTTCAATTAATTCAGACTCGATTCCGCCGGGATTGTCGCTCTCTCGACCTCCCATCAGTATCTGATTGAAGACCTGATCTTCTCGGATATTTGAGAGTTTTCCTCGAAGTACACGATCACCTTCGATCTCCGCGTTGAAGATTTCTCCTTGAGAGGATCGGAATCGGGCCTAAGCAAATCGGTCCGACCCGACCTCGCGAACAGTATCAATCTCGAGCTCGCTCCGCTTCCCGAATCATCCAGAGGCATCCGGACCGCTTGCCGCGGCATCTCTAGGTCTCGGAAAATCTCATTTAGGTCCACGGACTTCCACCGGAGCTTCGCCGGTCCTCTATCGGACTTTCGCCGCACCTTAATCGGAGCCTCATCGGATTTCCATCAAACCTCCACTGAATCTCTATCGGACATCGATCAGTTCATTATCAGACCTTCAGCACACATTCATGGAGCTTGCTCTGAGCCGTTACTATGTTCTCAATGGGCCTCTCGGAGCTGCGGGCCCGGATCTCAAGTAAAGGGAGCGAGATCCGCCGAAAGATCACCTAACACATTTTCCCACCCGGAATCCGATTTGGCCAACGTACCACTGACCGGACGTTCGGAGTTAAACGTTTCGAAATTGCAGTATTTGTTCCCGGGGTGCGGTGGTTAGCTGCAGCATGGATTGCGCCGTGCTCCGGAGTCGAATTTCTCAATGCCTCCATACCCGAAAATATTTTCTTGCCCTTATGATATTTCCGGTGATGGAAATATTCAATCACAACGATTCGGCGGAGCTCGCAGATTCCGCCACAGATTCGGATCCGTGAAGCCGCAGCTCGTTGAGGGAGTGTGGCAGGAATTACATCGGAGGCATACCCTCGGTAAGAAGTTTGAGCGACAAAACCCGGAGTTTATTTCGTCAATTCGCCGCGTTATTATGGAGCAGTGATTTGGGATTGCCCAGCGCAGCATGAAATTCTGCAGCTGTAGGTGGGAGGAAACTTTCTTCGATCCCAAGGTCGTTCCGACTCGTCTTGTTTATCCCTTGCCGGTTAGCGTGACAGCGACGGCATCGCCTGCATCCGCTCGGATGGCTCAGAAAACGAACAGAAGCAAGGCAGTTAACACCTCATATTCTGAAACCGTCGAGTCGAATCCTACATCCGATCACGTCACCTTTATTGACGCTCATTCGTTCGGAGGTACGTGGGCTCACTTCTAAGAATCGAGCTCATCCGTCCTTCCCACGTGGAAACCCGAAGAAACCTTCTGCTCGAACTAATGCCGTATGTGAGAGGAAGTCTGTAAACAGCGCTGTCGATAGTCGACAGATCCGGAACGCGATAGGGTATACTTCGTCCGACGAATTATCCCAGCGCCGAAGTTCACGAACATCGAAGGAACGCTCGTCGGAGATTCCACGCATACTCATCGACTTCTTACACGGCTCGGGAATGGCTCAGTCTCTCTTAAGATTTGGACAAAGGGTTTTTTGAGAGATGGGAATGGGGTGAAGATATGGTTCCTCTTCGTGGAGATGAGTAGTCCCTCAGTCAGACAGACACACTCTGACGCAGAGGATCGGGGAGGAACGAGACGGATTGCTTCGTCCGGCAGAATTGATAACCTAAGCCTGATGCATCATGATCATAACAATAATTATGATATCCAATGGACATTCCAAGATCAGTCTTTGATGATCACTGAAGTTCGCACGCAGAATTGGAGTTCAGATTCGCAGTGCACCAAGAACGCGACCTCCACGGGTCCCTGCGGGAGTTTTAAATGCATGATCTACGACATCCGCTCCTATTCTATATACCAGATGATTCTCTGTATTATAGCAATGAAGACGGCTTACGAGCGGATAAATCTTGAAAACGGGAATTTCGACTTCGGCGTCTCTCATTTCGTTTGCTTTGATTGGACATTGCACATGCTTTCCGCACATCTCCGCGTCGACTCCAGGCAGAGAAATGTTGAGCCTGTCGATTATTGCAGAAGGTCTCACCTTCACACTGTTGCTGTCTCTGCCTGTGGGGAAGTTTGTGGGTCAGAATACAAGGCGTAGAGCAATGAAGGCAGTACTGGAGGCATAGGGTTACCCTGTGTCTCAATGCCGTGTTGAATTTTCACTCACTGAAGGAGCCCATGAAGTGAACTCGAACTTTGGAGCCTAGACTCAATTCACAGGGCCACTTATCGCAGGGCTCGATCCTTATCCTTTCGATGTGTCCTGATCCCCCTGAAATCGCAAACGAATCGAGTCCGAGCCGATTCTCCGCGCAACTTACGTCGATGGACCCGCTTGAACAGACTGCGACGAGTATTGAGAGCACCGCATGGGATTCTGAGGTGGGTGAATCGCTTATCTCCTCCGAACTCACCGCAGCTCTTGTATTTAGACGGGTCCACGTCAATCGTTTGTATGAAATTGATCGACATCGAGAAACTCAGCAGGATAAAAATGAGCATCTCGAAGCGACCGAAGACACTGCTGGACTGAGTGAGAACCACTCCGTTTGCGAGCGATACCCGATCAGGTCTTCTTAAATTCGAATCACTGGTCAAACATTGTAACAGACGCCGCTTCAAGCAAGATCGATATCGCTGTATCGGCCGACTCGATGGAACAACTTAAAACCATTTACAAGTTTGTTTTAATTCGCTCACGAATCACGACCCATTTCCATGACCCTCAAATCCTGCGAGCGACTCTGAACTCAGTCACAGCATGAAGGATCTCAAGAAAATAGATTATTGATTAGAGCATAGGGGCTCACGAAAACCTCCCTGTCGAGCGCCTCGACCCCTGTCGGATGTCATGAGTCATGACATGACTCAAATTATTGGTTGTCACATATTCGTGTTAGGTGAGATTTCTAGTCCTATTTATTCTACTAAGGAGGAGCGTGTCTGCTGAAGTGGTCAATGTCAAAGATCGGTTCCTATCAAAGATGCCCTGGAGATCATGAAGTCGAACTTGGGGATTATGCAGACAGATTTCCAGCGAGATCCATCAGTCGCAGACGGTCGATAGTCACAGGTAATCCACAGTTATTGCACGCTTGGAGTAGAGGAGCGGCCGTCGATGAGCCAGTTAAGTGCCGTATCTCCGACTAGAACCTACCAGCTCACAATGCTCGTCAAATGTGCCCCTACGTTCCCGAATCGAGTCATCGAGTGAATGCGTGAGAATGGATTTCCGAACAAGCGAGTTTCTCGCCGTTGATTACGGTGGAGATCGACGTTCCACGACAAGACAAGGTTCCAGGGCGACGACCATGGAACGGGTGAGAATCACCGACGAGGTTTCCCAGGGTCTTGAGAAATCCACCTGGGACGGACTTGGAACCCTTGGATAGGGACCTGGTAATTGAATTGCCCCATCTTTCATGCATCCTTATCCAAGGAAAGTACAGGTCTCCGTACACGAGATGCCTCGGATTCAATTCACAGAAAATGTTCGAAAATCCTTACCACGTCGAGTGTGCGCTGTCTCGGATTTCTCGGCCGCGACAGAACCAGCTGCGAGTTCACGAATCCTGGACAAGTGGTTGGTCCAACACCTTAAGATCCCCGGAAGTCACGGATCTCCCGCGAAAAGGTTCGTCCCACCCCACCATGGTAATTCCTCAATTCCATCTCAACCTCGAGTCTGCAGCTAGTTGAGAGCTCGAGAGTCGAGAGGGAATCCTTCACCTAGCTAGGAAAATATATTGGTATCTTCTTCCACTTCGATGATTTCATATGCATTCTGACGCTCGTCTGGCACGATGGGAGATTCGCCCGACAGCAGCTCAAGTGCTGTAACTTTTTTCGAGAAATATTCAGCCGGTACCTCGGCTTCAACAAACGCAGGTAAACAACGCTGTTGGATAGCGGTACACGCAGGGAATTAAATATTGGACGTTGAGATCTCCATCTGAGGGCTTTGAAACCCTTCCCTCGTCCGAAATGGTGGATCAGTAGACGGACAGCTCCCAGGAGCTTCACGCCCCGGCGCTGACCGCGCTTCGAGCCGTGTACGTTCATTCCAGATGATGCTTATACGAGCAAACTTCTCGCGGCGTTGCTCTTTGTTGAGATGACAGCGGCGGTCGGTAGTACGCTGGGATTCTTGAAACAAGCGGATGCGATCAACATGCCATTTTGGCTGACATTCGGAGCATTCGCTATCAGCCTGATTGTCCTGACTATATACATCACGATGGGCAGGTGAGCTTCTCGTGTAAGCTTTCTTTTGGTACAACTGGTCTCGCTCACGGAATAGAGCTGTGAACCTAGGTGCCGCGATATTCGCTCCAGATCAGCACTCTGGAGTCTAGAGTATTTGCACCAGCTGATTTGAGCGGATACATTGCGGCGGAATGAATGCTCAGGATTCTCGCTTGGAGATCCTGGATGTGCTCGGGATAACATCTGTACGATCCCCTCCCCAGGAAGACGTATCCAGCGAACGTCCTCGCCTATATTTTCTTCCTGTGTGCGAGTCTCATCGTGCTGATCCATGCGAACTTGTCTGGTCATATGAAGTTCCACATCTACAACCTTGAAATGGCCACTCTCTGCTGTATGATTGGATCTCTGGCCTTCCTCGTCCTGAGCTACTTGCCGTTCTTTCGGGTAAGACCTCTTCCGGCGCGCATATTTGATAGGCGACTGTTTCTTCGAATCAGTCCGCCATTCACTCAGCTGACGACTTTTTTTCCTCAAAAAGGTGACGCGCAAGCAATTATTCTATGCGTTGCCGCCTATCCTGCTCACCCTGTTCTTCGCTGTGTTATTGAGCATGAAACTCTACAGAGAAACACCGTGGTCGTCCTTCGGAATCGTACCGATGGCAGCTGCCATCATCGTTCCATCGGCTTTCATCACAACAATCATGATAAAACATTACACTCTCTGTGCCTGCTGAGTCGATTGCCTCGAGCTCTCTCAGTCACCTCGGACACCGTATGATCGAAGCCTATGGTCTTGGAAGAAGAGGGTTCCATAAAGAGTTAATCGACAAACTTGCTTTGGGTCGTATCTTGAGGCTCGTTGGCAACCTCGTAGGGAAATCCTCTTGATAGTTCCTCTTTGGAGCGAACTAGCGAAGGAGAATCTGTGTTGATTTCTGAAACACCTATTCATCTGCTTCAAACATCCACACATCTATTTTCCCAACTCCCTTTTTCCTGAAGATATCATGACGATACAGTGGTCCCTCGACTCACGATCTTAATCCGTTCCCGGAGACCGATCGTAAGTCGAAAAGATCATGAATCGAAACAGAATTTCCCATAGGAGCCCATAGTGGGGCGATTGATCAGCTCAGAGCGGGGTAGAAGGACCGCGAAATGTGTATTTATCGACAACAAAACCTCAGTTCATTAGTTGTGTACATATTAATTCAGAGCGAGTCGAGCGACAAGCGCGAATTATTATTCGTCCCGAAAAATCGGACGCAAGTCGAATCAATCGTTCGGAAGTCGAAACAAATTCTTCTAGAAAAAAGGATCGTAAGTCGAATCTTTCGTAAGTCGAGACGATCGTAAGTCGAGGTACCACTGTATATCGAATCCTCGGAGGGCCAGGAGAGTAAACGAAGGAGTCTCCGGGATATGCCTGGTGAAGAGGGAATTTCCTCGCTGCTCTAACCCTCGATGCCTCGAACGAGAGATATTGCATACGCCCGCACGCCGGGTCCCCCCAGATCTGGACCCCGAGAAACGTTTTTGTACAATCTGGTTCCGATTTTTCCAATACTATCACCCTGTGGCAGAAATCTTGAAGAAATCCTCAACCAAGCATCCCATGCAACCCTCCCCGGAAAGCTTACGCGTCGAAATCGGCTCTTGACTCGAGGAATCCTAGTCTTGCTCCTCACAGCTCTTTTTGTATCCCTGAGCTGCTAGGGAAAACTAGGAAGACCAGCCAAACTTCTTCTCCCATCATTATTATTATTCACCATAGAGAATTCATATACGTGGCGTGAGTTGCCACATGGCACTCGAAACATGTACAGAGGTAGGTATACTGTCTTAGGATTTGTACAGAATTCTGCATCGAGGAGTGATGCTGATTAACGTAAGTCTCAACCAGGCTCAAAGCATGTATTGAGGCTCCCTATACTAAGATCACAGCGACCAAACTCATGATACTGAATTTGTTCGATCATACGTCACCGCGAAGGTCCTCGATTCCTGTTGTGAAGTTGAGCATAATGCCCCGGAGGACGGATCCAGAGAGCAGATGTACTTGGGTCGATAAGAGTCGACGCCTCCAGATTGTGCCGAAATTGCGATTCGAGCCAGGGTGGGCCGCAGTCGACCTATCGGTCCGTTTCTCGGTTGCGCTACCTAATTCCGATTTTCGCCGTACAGCGAAGTCATGACAGCTTTCGCATCCGAGGACGGATACAGCGGCAAGAACCTCCCTAATCGGCGCTACAGCGAAGGTTTCGGCACGTCAGGTCATACTTCCAGACATAAGAGCTCATCGAGTTCTCGCGGGATCCCAGAAAGTTTCAGACGCTTTGAACACAAGTCGTTTTCGTATTGAAGTTGCTATTTATATTCACAATGTGCCCGTTCGTCGTGTAGAGCGACGTGAGTATCTTCAGAGCGTATTCTTTCTCAGATCGCGGCACTCTTTCGTGAGACGTGCTCTGCAATGACTCGGGGCCAGTGGACTCTTCGCTGTCACTGGCGTGACTGCTGTTCGCTTCGCTGTTCGGGTCGGGCTCGGCGTGCTGGAGGTCGACTGTCGATATCGAGGGAGTGAAATTCGAGTTGGCGTCGTTCACGTAGGCCGCGGCTTCACGCTGTCTGCGGAGTCTCTCATTGGGTTTCCTCGGTCGTTCACTGGTCGCGACTCGACAAATCTGATGAATGAGACAAATACTCGCCGAGAGACCGATCACGAGAAGGACAGCTGTGACCATTATCAGAAGCCTGTGCTGTTTGTGGATAACGGTTCGGTTCGGCCCGATGTCATTGGACTCAGTCGGTGAGGTCGGATCGAAATCCGCCGTGTCGACACCGTTCGGTATCTGGTTGGACTCCTGGGTTCGCGCCACCTCGATACTCGAGAAATTGCCCTCGGTCCGTCGACCCAGGGCTGCGATCTTGACCTCGTAGTGTTGAGCGGCCGCGAGATGAGATATGGTGAAGGTCCAGGGCTCGGCGTTACCGATGCGTTGCATCAACCACTCGCCGGCGCTGTCTGTTCGGCGATATTTCAGAAGGAAACCTTCCGGTACCGGCCCGGCCATCTTCCAGCTCACGCTCAGACTGCTGGGAGAGTCGGGAGTGACGGTGACCACGGGAATATCTTTCGGGGTGTCGTCCGGTACGTGGGCCGGCGGACTCGGCATGGGTTTTTTCGAGCGCGAGAGTAGGAACCATCGGCTGCTTTTCCCGGTTCCATGACTGTTGTTCTCGTATACGGCGATCACCCGGAATCGGTATTTGCGGTTTTTGAGTCCGCCTACCCGGTACGATCGGGTCGTCGGAGAGATGTCCGGGTCTTCGGTTTGCCAATCGCCTACTTCACAGATATATTGAACTTTGAAGAATTTCACCGAAAGACTCGCATTCGAGATCGTCCAGTCGATCGTGACCGCATCCTGGTCGTCCTGTTTAACGTGCGGTCGTGATGGGACGGGATTGTTCACCTTGACACGATCTTTCCTCGGGACTCCGACTTCTTTCGGAGTTGGCGGGGGCTCGGTCATGCGTTGCTCCTCTTTATTCGTGAGAATACGAACCAAGTACTGCACGTACGTCGTTCCCAGGGAGTTATCCGCGAAACATTGAAAATGACCCATGTGGAGATCCCTGCTCGCTTTGGTGATGTGCACCTCACTTTGAGAAACGTAAATTCTCTTCTCGGGTGTGGTGGTGAGCAGTCCCCCGTTGAAGTACCACGTGACGTTGGGTTTCGGCTCGCCGCGAGTCACTTCGCACTCGATGGTGACCGGCATGTTCTCAAGCACTTCGAAAACCGTCCTTTCGGGGATCTTGAGTCGAGGCGGTTCCAGCACTACGAGTTCCGTCTGGGTGACGACACTGACGAAATTCTCCACGCTGCACTCATAGATACCGCTGTGTTTTGAGGTCACGCTCTGGAGGGTCAGCGTTCCATCCCCTTCCGAGTATCCTGGACGTAAGAAGGAGCCGACCCTTTGCCACGAGACGGTGGGCTTGGGGAAACCGTTTCCGATGCATTCCATTGTGACGTTGCTCCCCACGACGGCTTCGATCCGAGCAGGAGGTCCGTGAACGAGAGTGGCATTAGTTCTGAGCTCTCCATTCGGTTCTCTCGGACTAACTATCAGATACACTTTGAAGGGCGCCTCTTTCCGTTTCCCTGTGAGGGGGTTCTCCGCGACACAGATGTAATCACCGGCGTCTTCTCGTGTGGCATTGTAGATGAATATGTCCCCTGACGGCATCTGCTTGAAACGTCGGTCGAAGGGTATTTCTCTCTTCTTGAACTTCAATACAGATCTCGCCTTCGGCTCGCTCCGAGGTAAGGGCCCGCAAGGAATGACCGCGGTGCTGCCCTCGCGCACTTGAATATGCCGGGCATTCGTCGAGCCGGGATATTCCTCGATGGTCATCGGGATGGAGAGAGCGGTTTGTGAGATGAGCTTCAGAGGTGTACCTTCGAGACTGATGATACAATAAAACCTCGCTTTCTCCGACTCTCTGATTTCCAAGATGTGCTGCTTTCCTTCCTGGTCCATCTGCGGAACGCGAGAAGTTATAGGGACTGCAAAAGTCGCATCAAAAGAGAAGGGATGGAATGAGCTGGGGTCAGAAATGATTGGGGGAAGGGCATTACCTTCAACACGTTCGGGGAATTCGGTTCTAACCGAACTCCGTTTCGGAACCATTCGACTTCAACGAGACCCTCATAGTCTGTCTGAGGCTCGCATACGAAACTGACATTGCCTCGCTCATTGAGATCGCTCTCCGGTTCGGCAGCGAACGATAATCCCGGTATGGCTTTCGAAGTGCGGGCTAGCACGCACGGGACCAAGAGATAGACTCCCAGCCACATGGTCGATGGTCTCATGGCGAATCAACGTGACACGACAACTGCCTCAAGACCCTCGCAGATCCAGATGCCCCGCATCTGACTCCCTCACGATGAATCGCGGAACCTTCAGGATGAGCTCGACCGACTGCGTTCACATCGCACCTGGAAATATATCGTCGTTCATGGATTAAATCCTCCGAGAACATCCTGAGAAGGACCTCGGAAATCGCCGAAGCAGGTTCGGCAGCATCTAGGATTTCGTGCAACGAGCGCGTGAGCCATCAGTTCCCTGGACTAAGCCACTAATTAGCAATCATAATAATCTAATGATGAAGATGAATGCCATTCTTCGAGCGATCTCGAATCACGATCGGAATGTCTTCGATCGATTGTCCCACGATGAGATTTGAGCCTCTGAGCTCTGGTTCCTATCCAACGTTGGCTCCGCGACCGGTCGAGCAACAGGTTCATGAGGAGATGAAAGATGTCATCAGAGCCCCTAAGGACTTCAGGCGCTGAAGAGATGAATACGTCCCCCCTCCTCCCCCTAACGTAGAGGAGCCAAATGACCGCGGATAATTTTTAGATTGTCAAGGATCGCGAAGGAGGCTCCATGGAAGCCACTTGCTTCGCAGGCGGAATACTTACAAGAGGGGCCGAGCACACACAAACTTCATTCAGCGCACCTTGGATCAACACTCTCAACTTTATGATACTCTCTCTCGTGTCGTCATCGGAATGAAGACCTTCACACTGTCCTCGATCACGAATAATTAATATGAGAGAAAATGAAAATAGTCCCGCACTGACGCTGCTGCTTCGGCCTTCAAAACTTCGTCTTCAGTGCTTCCTCTCTTGACGAGAGCAGACCGATCGAGCGACGAAGCGACAACAACAACAACAACAAAACACCGGAGCCAACATCAGACACAAGGGAAGCCAGAAGAGAATCCGGTCGCCGGTTTTCACTATCGGTGCCCGTGGTGCTCACCATCATCATCATGAGCGCCGCCACCGCCGCCGCCGCTGCACACAAGCCGCGCCAGATCGAGAGACCTACAGAACCGGGCGAACGAGCGGGAGGCCTCCGTTGGCGCCGGAGAGAGAACCTGATGTTTGGTTGGTTGTTTGGTCGGTCTGTCCGTCAGTCGCTTGGTTTCTGCTTGTCGTCCACTTGCTGAGCCAATTCTACGGCTGCGTTCATTCTCACAGCAACGGCGGCGGTCGCGGCATATTCCCTTCTTTCCGTAGAGCATCTTCGCTTTTTCTTGCTGCTCTCATCTGCGAGGTGCACTTTGTACTGTGTCCATCCGATATCTCACGGCAGTCGACGGCGCCGTGCGTTTCGACGGGTTTCTGTCGGAAGGAATACCGAGCTTGACGCTCGAATCTGAACCCTCTTATCCCCGGTCTCTTCACCATATTGGTCTACGAGTCTACCCAGACTCGCAAATGCATGTTGTTAATTCGCCGCAAACCTTGGAAGTCCAGGAGTATCGAACTTCGGGTGGCTCACAATCGAATCGTCGCACATACACATCATCATTTCATTCAGGGATTCTCGGGCGGAGACTTCTGAGGGTGACGAACCACGTCGTTAGGCGGCGTCATGGACTGGATCGATATCGCCCTCAACCATCAAGTATAGGGCGGACAGCTCTCGTCTCGAAGAATGAAATGGGATCTTGGCTAAAAAGAATTTCTCCCACGTCATAACAGGACGGCTGGCTCCTCGCTCATACGTCCGAGAAAGGAGCGTGAGCCTCTACGGAAACTCCCGAAAGAGTCGTTTCTGATCAATCGCTACAATTTTTATTGAAAACTCGTGAGACTTTCCTCAGCTTCTCGTGAACAACAGCGGCGGAATCCGCTTGATGCATGGTGGAGCTGAGAGTCGCAACCTACAGGGAACGTTCTTCAAGTTGGACCTTCGGTCTCATATACGATCTACGTGGCACCAAGTAAAAGCTCGAGTCTTCGACAGTTCATGCCGCCGCATCGATCAGACGTTTAGAACTCTCGCGGTTTCTCGGACTGGAAATAGATTTCGACAGTGTGTGTCTGACAGCGGAATCGACCACCCAAGCACACGAGACAAGCCATTTGTTTGAACAACTGTTCCGCTGTCAGATAGAGAGAGTGCTGTTGATAGAGTAACTCCAATGGTTTATCGAACACATGTGACGAGCATCGAGATTCGAACTCGCCCGGCGCACCACGAGGTCCCGGCACGTGTGGATGAAGCAGGAATTTCCAGAAAAAGCTTGATAGACTCAGGGACTCGGTTAGGAGCGAGCGGGGCAACAATGCGGATGAACTCTGATGATGATGCTTCCGCAAACACTGCCAATCGCGTACTAAATCCTCAAGGTGAAGACAGTTGCGTGATGCGCCGAAGGTTGGCATGTTCACGGTCTGGCCATTCTCGACTTATTGATTTTTCTGGGAGGAGGGTACCGGTTGTCTCTGAGGATCGGTGTTGTACATCTGTTCTAGCAGCATTCACCCCACAAAGGGCACTGCCAAGCCGCACGCGATGGGAGGAGGGCAGCCGGCGCCTCGTCCCTCCTACACGAGGGAAGATTCAGTTCCCGGTCACACAAAGAGATTCTCTCCGAAGCTTGAGCGGATCTGGAACAATCACCCCCTGCCGGCAGAATGGTTGCGTGACGATTTTCGAGTGCTTCTATCTCGAGCGCTTCCTACAGAACAAGGTCCTTGGGAATTGAATTGCTGCAAGAATTCCATACCCATCCTCCTAAATTTTTTGCGAAGTTTGAGACTTCTTTGAACCTTCGGCTCCTCTGACGGAACAGCGGAGATCTTGTTGTCATCTTCCGACTTATAGAGAACAATGAATTGTCGAGTCGATTATTGAAATTCAGCACGCAACTCGCAAATCAATCCGATCTCACTTCGATCAGACAGGATGCTTCCCGGGGCTCTCTTTCTCTCTTCATTACTCTATTTCTCTCTGCTCTCTCTGGTTCCGAACAGGTTAGAGTTCAGCGGAGCCGGTTCGCAACACGACGAATGCATGGCACGGCAGCGAATGATCCGCCGTAGAAGTCGCAGAAAATACAGCCTACTTGAAGAGGAGAAATCGATGGCTCCGTTCTGATTAAAACGTTGCGGATAATTGATATACAAGCGGCCTCGAGAGATTCCCGCCACCTGGCAAGCCGGCCAAGGTAGATATTCACCAGCTCGGAATCGAATCATACAATACGACCGGAGGTCTCACCCGGCACTCTCAGCTGTAGTTGACAGCTGATGTTGAACGCCGCTCAAGCTAGGATCGCGTTTCACGCCGCGGTAGCGCAGAATACCGAACTTCTTACTTCTTAGTTCCTTATGCTCTAGCTTTGACCGCATCGATCCGTCGCCCGACTTTGTCGATTTCGACGGGTTCCTCGTCCACGACCATCAGGCATTGAATGCCGTGCATCGCAATCCGAGTATTCCGTCGAATGATTTCGAATTGATTTATAGTTTCCAGAAGTACTCGATAGTCTTGACTGCTCGTAATCAATTCCCAAACTTCCTCTCCGTATCGAGGATCTCGCCGACTTCCTCTCGCGTCAGAATGGTCCGGTCGAGGAACCCTCAATCCGGATTCCGCAACCTCACTGGTCAGGGTCAGGCTCCTCCGCAAGCACCTTGCACGGATAGCTCACACCTTCCCGGAGACAAATCTCAATACATCGGGCCCGGGTGAAGACATGCCTTCTTCCGCGGATCTCGCGACACATGCCGTCAAGGTTCCATTTCTGAGTGGATCGGATCATTATTTCCCCAGCTTGAGATTCCTTGTACTGCGAGAGGGTATGAGACTTCTGTTACCACGCAAGCTGATCGATTCGAATATCTTCATCAACAGTCACATCCAATAAACAGGGGATCATCATGCCGCTATCCCAGCCACTTGGATGACCCTGCGATGGGGTTGGCCTGCATCGCAATCATTGCCGACGTTTGGTCTCCTCATTGGGATTCGAGTTTGGAGCGCTTTCCCAGCACCTGCAACGAGGTTTATCTCCGAGGCAGATCCGATTGTGCAGGGATACGTAGCGACCGCATGGTCCTGCCATGTCGACACGTTCCGAATTTGCGGAGGTCTGATTGACCTCCTCCGAACCTGGCGAAACAACGCCTCCAATAAATAGATTGATGAACTCCGATACGCGGTAGGAAGTCGATTCCTCGCAAGCATTCGAATTCCTCGAGCCGATGGCCTGAGCTTCAACCAGATTTATTCTGTCCATTCGTGACTTGTGCGCGATCGTGAGTCCTCTGAGAGATCTTCACGAGGAGGCTGGAGTGAATTCAAGGTCGACGCGGTACATCGCACGTGGCGCATCTGTCGCCGAATCAGTCGATCCGATATCTAAAAAAAAAACGGCTTGACTCGGAGACTTCCTGAAATCGAGAGCGCACAGCATCCAGAGTCTGGAGCGTGTGCATGGGTGCAAAAGAATGAGAGTTCTTCAGATTTCCCAAGCGTAAACTTGGACTGCCACAATCAACCCACACGACATTTCTCGCTCCAGCGTGGATTCAGCTCAGTCAGTCACTCGGACTGAGCAACTTCAAGCAACTCGGGACAGAATTTATCGGACCCTAGGATCGTGAAGGCAAAACAAACACGAGACGGACAAGAACGCTCCGTGGAATCTCACCTTGACCAATCCCCTAGAAACTGATCATTCACGATTTCTGCAACCGCTCGATCAAACCTTTGTAAGTACTCGTTCTCGTCGATCTACCGTCTCAGAGTCCAGGTCGCAGCTTCTACTCAAGGCGATCGAAACCGGTGAGATACGGTGGATATCAATGAAGCATATACACACATATGTATGTGTTTCGTATCACACCGGGAATTGCAGGGGGTCCTCAAATCGGCCTAGTGGTTCGGAGGGGGTCTCGGCAAACGAAGAGTTTGGGGACCGCTCTTCCATTCGATTCTATCGACGATATCGGCTGGGGCGTTTCAGAGTGGATTTTGGCGGCGAGAGGAATCCATGGTCATGAGTTCT